CTAGATGGAACCCTGCACACGTATGAGGCTGCAGCAGTTATCACAGAGAAACATATTAGCTATGTAGGGAGGAGGACAGTATTCAAAGGTCTAGATGATATTGAGGAAACCTGCTGCTGGAAACAGCTGTATCACAGACATCATGAGCTGATCAGCTTGGGGATCAGTCTGGTGAATAGGAACACAGTATAGTAATACAAGTGCAGTAAATTACTGTACTACATGAGATGCAACATTTTTGTCTCAAAGCCTTTCATTTATAATGATAGGCTTGGACAGTTTTTCCAGTGCTTAGAAAAGTCACTATAATGGCTCTCAGTTTGAGTACAAATTACATACGTACTGCAGAATCAAGGATGACAGGGTGGAAGGGGCAGTTCCTTCTGAACTTTCCTCAAACACTTAAGTTATCTTCTGTTCACAGCATTTTAATATTTATTTTGTTTGTTTATTTTCAAGTCTTTATCTACCTTATTTTTCCTTTCCCCTAGAGCTTGACTAAGATCACAGTGCAAAAGGAAATTAATGGGTTAATACCACCTAGCAAACTTGTCAACTCTCTAATCTGCCTGGTTCTATTGGTAGTTCAGCCTGCCCTGTCATACTTGCTGCCCTGAGTTGGCTTTCCTGTTGTAGTTTCTACCTCCCCTTTACATTTGGTATCTCTGCAGGGTCATATCATCGTAGTGCTGAACTGCATCAGTACAATGCAAATTCTAGTTGAAACTGAAGTATATGATTGAAATATTCTGGAGATACTCAGGTAACTAATTTCTGTGGCAGGAAAGTGAATGTTTGTAAAATATCAAGACTATTCAATTGCTAATATTTCTTGGGTGGTGTTTTGTTTTGTAAATTTTTCATTCTGTGGTGAACATTGCTTCACTTCTAGTTTGTTCTCTTGTGCTGGTGATCCATTGGAGAATATAGAAAACCATATGCCAAGCTTAAAGGAGTTAACTTGTTAAATACTTACATTTTTTTCTTAATTCATCTGGATCAAACTTATCTTTTTATTCTGTTGTTGAGTTTCAGCCTAATACAGTTAATCTCTATGGACATGCGGCTCTAGAAATGGTCTTCTATAATAACAGTGACAAACGTAAGAAATTATTTACCACATTACTGTATTTTTCTTAATTACCATGACAAAAATAAATAAGAAAAACTACTAATGAAAGTGGACATAGAGATGCTCTAGATGTCTTCAAGGCACTGCGTAGTAGTTATGCCCTCTGAATTCAATTATCTGCAAATACTATTCATGCACAGATTGTGGTTCCCATGTTTGTCTCTGGTAATTTAGCTGCAATCTGATGCAATAATGGTTTTTGTTTATTTGTTTCCTTATTCAGTCTGAAGTGCACACTCTTCCCATAGGAGTCATTTCTCTGTAGAGATTGAACCATTATTTGACCATTGACACTGCCACTGATTTGTGGAGTAACAGGATGATTAAGTATATTGGCAGAGTGCCTCATTCACCAATAGGCAACAAACCCTTTGTCTCTCTTCTTTTTTTTATGATTTTTCATCTCTTTCTTTTCTACTTCACTGAGCTCATATTAGCAATTGACCTGCAAAGTGGAAACGCAGGAATGTTTCATGATGGCTTTAGGCAAACAAAAGAATGATGAGTATATGCAAGAGTGAATCAATTTTTCCATTCTCTGAGAGAATAAAATAGCAATTTTGAGGCATCTCAATTTGAGTCTTCCTGAAACAGAGCACAGCATAATTGCTTGCAGAGACTTGTCCTAATTGGCAGTTTTAGGAAAGAGGCACAGACAGTTCTTAGCACTTGCAGAATGGAAAGTTCTCCAGAGAATGTTGAAACAATTAATAGGCATTTCTGTCTTACTGCCTAAGGTGCCTGACTTGAAACACAGCTGAAATGATAGCAATTCGCAAAGAGGAGCCTCTGAACTTCTCCAAAGCAGATGGCACTCTCGCTGCTCTTTTCCAGTTTCAGAAGAGAGCTGGGGGGAAAAAGGAATGTGCAGGGGAGATGAGAGGTTTCATGCATACTTTTCCCTCTCTCACCCATTGTTTTATTTATGTGTGCATATGTCCATCTGTAAAACATTATATCTGGGTTTTTCTCCATATGAGAACTTTAAAGCTGACTATAATCAAATTAATTGGTACATTACAGATACTGAAGACTTACGTGTCATTTATTCAGAAAGGGGGGTGTGCATTTTCTTTTTTCCATGCTTGAGTTATTTCACTGTTTCTCCTACATTGTCTTTTGTTCTCGCCTGGGTTAAAAAACACATTTCTTAATTATTTTGTAACTCAGCTTGCTGCTTTTAGCTTTTTGCAATATGTGACAAAAATGCTACAACCAAGAAGTCTGTTGTAATACTGGGTTTTGAAAAACAAATGCTTGTGTTTTCCCTTGACAGTTAAATGAAAAATTCAAAGGAAAACTGTTCTTGGAGGTTTTATTATGAAGGTTTTTGTAATACAGTGAATAATCAATAAAATCATTTTAGATACTCTCTGGTATGGAGTAGATTAAAAAAAAAAAACCACCCACAAACCACTCCTACTGATTCCCTGTATAATCCATATTAAAAGCTCTACATCTGGGATATACTTTACTATGGGCAGCAGCATCTCTCTCTGGTAGCTTGAGTTCCTCAACCAAACAGGCTCACTGCATTATCAAAACAGTCTCACTGTGAACTTGAACTCTCATGCTGGAAGTTGCTGTGTAATCACAGTAGATATGGTGGTGGTCTTCCATGGGAGAGGCATAGAAACTCCCATTCCTCTATTTTCTGAGTACTTTGGGTGCACCCAGCTGGAGGTGACAGTACACTTAACTGGGAGGTGTGTATGTGGTTATTAAAAAAGCTCGAAAGATTACTTCAGAGTTTTCAAAGTGTCTTTCATATTTGATATCCCATTATGATCAAGCTATAGGAAAGTATGTTTTTTCAGCAGATACTTTCAGTTAAAATCACTGATCTTTATGAATTGGTTGTTTTGTATCCAATGATCCCATATGCTGGTTCTACAGAAGGCACCACAGAAGCGGAGGGTACAATCAGCCAAGAATCCTGCTACTGTTTATCTTTCTATATCTAATAGCTCTAATATTGTAGAGCTATTCTTCACTTCACTGCAGTAAATGGTGGCACATTTACATTTCAGACATATTATTGTTCTCAGTGATGCTGAGCCCCATGTACCTGATTAAAAAGCTTATTGCAACCATTATCACTTTGGTCTACAGTAAAGTCCAGCCAGCTAGCTTTTGCTGTGCATCTTTGCTACAGAGGAGAGATGATAAAAATAATACTCTCTGAATGCTGATTTCTCTTCCTTTCTCCTAGTTTCCTCTGAGTTATATAACCCAATATGAATTTGTATTCCAAATGTTACAAGATAGCAGCCATTGCCTGTTTATTTCTACTGGTATTACTGTAAAATGTGTTCTGACCTCTTGCTACTGAGGCACCTGTCTGTGACGGTATAAACAAATGCTTGCTTTCTAAAGTGAGCACCTCAGCTACACTAAGTAGAGGTCATATGCATGGTGGCAATAAGTGTGCTTTCCTTTTTCTAATGATTTCTGTCATGGAATTTGTTTTTGCTTTTATTGTTTCTGGAGGATCACTATTGTGATCTAACTGTTCTTTAAAGTGTGATATAACTGTTTGTTAAAGTTCTGTCAAAAAACAAGGGAACCATGATCTGAAAATGTTTAGGCTTATCTTATTATCATCTTAGTTTCTAAAATATTTGAAATATTTCAAAGTCCTAGGGTTTCCAGAACTTTGCCTTCATCTCTCTAGTACGAGGGCACAATAAGCATCTGTGTCATAGCACTGGAAGGAGCCAGAATCTCAGCTTCAGTTAACTCCTAAGTATAAGTACAAGGAGCAAGAATTTGGTCTTTACTGAGAATTCAGGAAAAACGTTCAAGGTATTGGAAGAAGTGTATACCTAGCAGATGGCTCATTTCAAAGTAGATTGTGCTGAATTGATCTGTGTGTCCTGCAGGTGTTCAAACATCTCCAATTTGGCAAAAACCATTGTTTTTAAAACCACAACTTTTTTTTTCTTGTTTGCATTTTTCCAACTTCTAGAGCTAACAGTAGAATGAAGAAAAGAGGACAGTATATTTAACCTTTCATAGCTTCAGACGCTTAGAAATCCAAGTTGTACAGCCATGAATGAAGCCTGGTCAGGGCATATACTGTGTAGATACTGTCCATGAAGAGTTTCATTGACATGATAGTATTTAGAGCTCTTAGCAATAAGAACTCTGTTCATCATTTCTGCTGTTAAACAAAAAAGGGTATTTGTGGAAGAACATGCTGCTTCACTTCAGGATAAAGACTTGGACATGCCAGTGTTGTCATCCAGGTGCCAAGTGGGAGATACCTACAGGCTTCTCTGCTACAACTAGTAGAGAAGCGATACGTGCACTGGACAGACCCTCTCCTGCTTGAGTCAGCTGGTATGTGAATTACTGACTCCTGCTTGGGGCCACTACAGGTGCCAAAATCAGATGTATAACAGTCTCATTTTTCTTTCTGAACGAGTTAGCAATTGTAAGAGAAATTTTAAAAGCGTGGTCATGTTTCTATAATATTTGATTTTACAATAATAATGAAGAAATTCTCAGACATCTTGAATGTATTTTGTAGTATATATAATATAATTTTATGGTTTTAGTGGAGAACAAATATCATGAAATGTTGTATAGCAAATGTTGATGCAAAGCCTAAGTCTGAAGGCTTAGGCTGTAAAATGTAACCAGGTGTGCTACGATTCAAGTCAATTCATCAATTAATTTCCCTGCCACCATAAAAAATTAGTGCTGATTTCCAAATCAAGTGGTTGCTTAGCATCATAAACGCAATTATTTCCTCTCCTTTGAGCTTACATGCATCTATTACTCCTTGCTCAGTAACCTCAGATGCCTTACTGTCTTTGATGGATTTACTTACTTTCTTCACCATGCTCTCTGTGTGCCTTTACAGTGGTCAGTGTATATCCGTGCTGCTGTCCGCAAAGAAAAAGGACTGCCAATCCTGGTAGAACTGCTTCGAATAGACAATGACCGGGTGGTATGTGCAGTTGCTACAGCTTTACGAAACATGGCCTTAGATGTCAGAAATAAGGAGTTAATAGGTATGTTCTTTCCCAACTCTCTCTATTTTGTATTTGGTTTTCTTCTTGCTTGCAGTAGAATAAGCACAATGAAAGCAATTATTCTCACATTTCTAACATAATTTCTTTAATTCTTTCTCTAACGGCTTTTATTCACATTTTATGTGACGGCTTAGTACTATATTGCAAGGAACTGTTAAATTAATTAAACATCATGCAGCATTTTATGATTTGTCATACTGTAATCTCCAGAAGAAAAGTGATGGTTTTGTTCTGCTTTAGTGCTTCATTCATAGGCTGACAGTAGCACTTGCGTCTTCCAGATCAAGGATATGGCAGAGCAGCCACCTCTGATCCTCAGGTTCTCTATTAAAAGTGATATTAGAGATCATGAAGTGTCAAATCATAGACTTAAAAGATGGTCTCGGGAATTTACTGGACATATTAGTAGCTCCAGCAGCAGAGCTTGGAGATAATTAATTTTCAAATATGTGCAGATAAGGAAGAAAATAGTGTTACCTAAATCGTTGTTCTTTCTGAATTCTAATGGTATGGTAAGCAAACTTTTTAGTTTTTCTGTTGTATTTTTTTTGTTTTATGGTGGTTTTTTAATTTGTTTTGCTTTTTTTAGCTATAATTCATAAAAATGCTGTGAGTCATTGAAACTTTTCATGTTTTATCTTTGAAAAAATATCTGCTTCTTTGTTTTGAATTTAACAATCAAGACAAAAATTATTTATACTTCCTCTGTACCTTCAGTGCACACTGTTCCTCATTTGTGCTAGGTAGTTAATTTGTTATCATTACTGCATACTGTAATACTTTGCCCTTAATTACAGAATTCCACAGATAAATACTTTGATCATCATGATGTTTTATTATTTGTATTCAGTGCTTCGTAAGAGCAGTGCTCTGTAGCTCATTAAAGCAAGGCAATCACTCCCCTCACTTCTTGTACAAAATAGTGAGAACTTCACTGACAAAATGTGGTAAAGCAAACAGAGGTAGAGATTGGTGAGTAGTATAAACCTGCTGGGGTACCCAGAAACTGAACTCAAGTTGATGCTTTGCATGCAAGACCAACCTAATCATTCAGCTTTTGCTCACGTGATAGTTGGCAAAATTGACATGAAATTCAAGTTTGCTGTATTATGTTCAGTCTTTAGGAAGTTGCTTCAGGATGCTACACATGTGTTCTTAGTGTATTTTTTCTGTTGTTTTCTAGGAATCTTAAAGTAGAAATTGCTGCTGAAGCAAGTGTATCAGGCCATCTGATGGATGAATAACTGATTATTTTTTCATTTTATCTCATGATCCAAACTTCACTTTCAGTCTTCGGCATGTTACAGTCTTTGTCATTCAGCATCTTAATCCTTTTAATTGAAAGTTTTATTTCCTTCTCAGCTATGCAAATTTTAATAGGAATGTAAGGCTATGCATGCAAAAAGTAGAACTGTCTTTTAATGTGATATGTCATACAAAATGTTTGTCAAATTATGGGATAAGATTGCATAGCCTCCAAATCTTAATGTTTTATGTAATTATTAGAGAATGTGTGATATAAACAAAGACGAATTCTGAAAAGGTGGGAAGATTCTGTTGACAATAGATTTATTTATCTGTCAGCTGGTAATGAGCAGTGCTGCTCAAATTTAAATTATTTGTGGAATAATTCTGGGAAGTTGTAATTTATAACTCCAAAGCAAGGTACAGACATGCCAATATGATAGGGAAGTTTTGACCATAATTCCTGAACCATTTCAGCTGTGATCTTTATATGCTCATTTCTTTGTCTTATGTCATTGAACTTTGAAGAAAGAGTAATAATGGTCATTATTTCTCTTGTGAATTTTTCATAGCTAGTAGGTCACATCATAGATCTCATTTTCATAAATTATGAACATCTGCAGTTGTCAAGGATTTCAACTTGTCATAGACCGTTTATTTTTACGAATATTAAAATTCAACATGTTCTGAGAGATCTTCTAAGAGGACTCAAAAGGGGCTTGTTGGTGTTCATTACGTAAGTGTCTTTCTAAGTACAGTCAGCATCCTGTTTATCTTGCCTCTTTGAAGTTTCAGTTTGTCATATTCTTGCAATGAAAAACTGCCTCAAAAATTGGCCTTTTCCCCTTCAGATAACTTTTCTTAAAGGTGAATTGTCCATCTGTATACGTAGTAAAGATTGCATAAGTAAAACTGCATTTTTTTAAATGCATCTTGGAGATTCATTTTGCAGTTTTTCAGTGATGCTGTTCTCCCATTCCCAGCTGACAAATTTTTACTGGAATGCACCACAGAATGAGAGATTTCTTTGCTGCTGTTGCCAAGCAGCCCATGAATCAGCGTTGTGGCATCTGGCAAATATAGCAGAAAGCTTGCTAAAGTCCAGACTCACCTGTAGCAAACCACAAAGCAAATGAAAAGACTTTCATTTTGAAATGACCAGAAATTTCTTTCTAGACTTTGTCAAATTTGCTGATCTATTTTGGTTTTGTCACAGATCTGTCAAGCGTGTTTACACTGATAAAGTTTGGTACCAGGCTCTTCTTAAAGATTTTCTGACCAATCACCATATAACATTTTCTTCAGTGAGTTCTTCCTGGGTATCATTTAGGGTGTGCTCCTTGTCCTTAATATGACCTTCATCATGCCATGTGTAGTTGGAGGCTGAGGTAGTGGGAAAATTCATCTTTTTCCTCGCTGAAATTAGACCCCACCGAGACAAAGACATAGTAAAATTGGCCTGTTTTTTTTTGTATTGACACTTGGTAATACAGCACTTGATTCTCTATCCTTGGACATAACTGCCCAGTTATGTTCCAGGTGACACTCAAATTGTATTCATTTTCTGCTCGCTTTGGAGGACCTTTGTCTTTACGAAATAGTACTCCCTCTCTATCATTTCCCAAAAGAACACCCATGGGAAGATCTATCAATGTTGTTGTCATTCTGGCAGTGCCACAGCTGAGGGATGTTGAGCTGGGCCTTGAAAACAGTTGACAGCTGCTATTGCTTGTTGAGCACTGTCAATACAAAGTGTTGTGCTTCAGGTCTTTCTGTCAGTTTCCTCTCATCCTTACAGTGGTTTCTAATGTTATTCTGAGCCATTGGTGGTTGAGAGAAACACTGCAGCACTATTTCAAGAGCACCACTCACGTGTTTTCTATGGCCACTTGGGATGTATTTTTGTGGTTAAGCAAAATATGCTTTTGGAGACTGGAGGTATTTTTGCCACTCATCCTTGAAAAAATAGGACAGTTGCAATAATGATTTTCATTGACTTATTGACACGTGCGTAAGATGCATCCTTACGTAACTCTTTGCTTACAATACGTAGAGAAGCCACGTGTCTGTTCAGGGCTCTAGATTTAAGGCAGAGAGGGGACAAATTCAAGTGCTGCAGTACTTACGGCATCCTTTTTGTGGATATTGCTTCAAAAGCATGATTCAAATAAGTGAAGTTAAAGGTTAAAATTTCAGGTTTTCACAACGTTTTGAAGCAAGCCCTGAAACAGGGTCTGTAAAGTGGGGGTATTTTTGAATAACTATTTTTGCTTCAAGGTGTCAGGAATGAATCATTCTCAATTCACTGCTCATATGCTGGAAACATAGTTTTGAGATAACATATCCATTGAATTGTTGCTCAGCTTGTTATAGTCTGCTTAATCTTGCTAGGTGTCTAAATATTAGACTCCCTTATAGCTGACAGAGAAACAACCAGAAAGTGGTTTAAATAACATGATAAAGTGGATCTCAAACTGTATTACTGCCTAGCCACTGCTGAGAGAGAAAAAGTTAGGGAATGCATAAATTGACACTGAATGTGTATGTTAGCATCTCATGGGCAACATATACACATATTTGAATGTTTGAAGTAGCTGGTGTTTGTTTCAAAGTTTTATTGCTAAACATGAGAGAGTTTGGAATGTCTGTCAGGTATTCACAACTGTAATGAATCATAGGATCATAGAATCACCAGGGTTGGAAAAGACCTCAAGATCATTCAGTCCAATCATCTGCCTACCACCAATATTTCCCCACTAAGTAGAATCACGATGTCGAATTCTGAAAGATGGTAAAACATTGTTAGACTCGCTGCATAATTCAGGTTACAAGGAACCTCAGGAGGTCATCTTGCCCAGCTTTGTACTCAAAGCAGGGTCAGATTTGTTATTTCAAACTGTGATATTGATTCACATCTGGAAAGATTTGCTTTCAGCAGGCAGGCAGAAAACATGTCAAAAACAACCGTATTCTAACAGCAGTATGTTCTGGAGCATAAACAGTGACATGGGTTTCTCCTCTCGTAACACATGGCCATGTTTTAATACCATAACTTTGTTTCAGTATCTCTAACAAATCCAAGTGCAGATCGTGTTTATTTTTTTTAACTTTTTAAAATTTTTTTAACAAGAACAAAAGCTATAACAAATTCTGAGTATTAGTAATGTATGTTATTGGGGAGCACAATGATGGATTGGGAGATGATTAAATCAAGTATGCAATTTTCATCCCACTTAGAGCGTGTAAACACTTTACTCTCCTTTTTCAATGTGAGCACTTCTGAATTTGTCACAAATAGATCTGCAAGGACCTGAGAGGCACTGCTTCTTTATTGAATTTTTAATCATTTTATAATGTGATTTAGTTACTGAATTGTTAAATTGACAGAAATTCACAATGCGTAAAAAGCCAGAAGACGTTAATCTCAAGTCATAGGCATTCTTTCTTCAAATTCTTCTAATCAAATTGCAGCATATATATTTGTTCAATTTGTATCAATTTCATTGCACTTTGATTTCTGTGTTTAATAGGTGAGTTGTGCAAAACACATATTCAAGAAATACCTGACTTAGAAGAGGTGGTTATCAAGAAGTTGATTTATGAAATGGAATGTAATAGCTCATGCTCTTTACTTTGTGTAAGTGACAAGAAAGATGTTATTTAAGATGGTAAATACATACAAAGTCCAGACTCCCTGGTTTCTGATGTTGTATATATAATTTAGCTGATAATTT